TCACACCGGACTTTGTGTGAACTTTGAGCTCGATGCCAGCCCTCATGGTTATGTTTAGCACTGTATAGTTTGGTGTTTCATTAATGATGTCACGTGATCTGTATGAATCTCCAAGGGCAATTTATAAGAACAAACAAATTGTACTTGAGAAAACCAGTCAGACTCGAGAACAGGAAATATAGTGCACGCAATTCTGCACTGGAAAATTTTGATTAGGTCGAGAAGCACTAGGTGTAGCACTTATGTGGCTAGTATACAACTAATGTACATAACGCTGTAGCTAATACTGTGACGGTACAAAAGATCGAGGGCAGTCATTAGAATAAATAAAATGGGTCAAGGTCACTTGGTCACAAGTGGTTTACGTGTACTTCCCTCCGTCTCTGTTACAAGACTATTGGACGCAACCCATACATAGTTCTCACCCTGGTTCGACTTTACTTCATCGATGTATCAAATTTTGTGTACAATTTTCACGTAACTCACCTGACTGAGAGGGTCCGGGGTTCTTGCTGTCAATGACCCAATGTAAATACCGTGAGGCATCATAGGCCGGGGATAATCAAATGCAAAATCAGAACAGAAAAGTACTAACTCCGAATTTCCACATAAACTCCTGTATGGAAGCTCTGGTCGAATGTTATGCCTTTGTTGTACAATTTTGAATGGTTTTAACAAAACAAACTCAAGTATTGCAGCCGATGCAAGGTATGCAAATACATTTTTCAGTCTCTGAGGAAACGTCATCTTATCTGAGTATCCCGTCGTTACCGCTGGTACATATGCCGGGTTTGACATCAAACCATGAATTAAATCGTCTATCATCGGTAACGGTCTTGCAGTGGAGACACCGATGATTGGTACATGCAATATATCAACAATAATAGCGTAGCCTGGGTTGAAGACATTGGCAACAATTAGATCAAAGTTCGCCGCATTCAAGCGTTCTACGATGTTACTGTCTTGAATAAAAGCCTCTGTCTCATCTGCAAAAGCTTCAAAAACGCGAAGCGTATCAAAAATAGTTGGTGCAGTATGTGTACTTTTTGTGACTTGGTTGTATGCATCGGGAAATTCATTGAAGCCGCATTCATACTCTTCAAAATTCATAAATGTTCGTTGTTGTTTGATCAACCCTGCAAATCTGTGGTAGAAGAGATCATTTATCAAAACGGTTACGTTGTGACCTTTCATGGCCAAGAGTTCTCCAAATCTCGAAATGGTAATGTAGAAATTCCCGGCCGAGGGACCAGGCAAAATTAGGATGTTGCTGCACAAGACTGGACAGATCACACACGCTGTAACAACAGCACCGAACCATTGGTTGTTAAAAAATGTCGCCATTTTGGCAGCGTTCTTCAAGGCTACCATATGTCAATCAAACATCAAAGTTAGGGCAGGGTTCCAAAAGTCGTACCTACACTTTATACAAATGCTAATTTATTCATCACGTGGCAGTTTCTGTGCTCACGAATATTCATTAATTATAGGGTCAATACATTCTAAAAAGGGGCGATATATTATTTTGGGGGACAAGAGTTAAAAAGGGGGAATTAGCAATACTTAGGGGGTCAATACAAAAGAAGGGATAGCAGCAATGATCCTCGTAGCTCTTGTTGTTGTTGTTGCATGTGACTTGCAGCTGTGTTCGTACTTCGACAATTTGTGGGCTTCGTCGCCCACGACTGGCTTTCATATGAGGTAGTATTTCACTAGCATTCACAAAACATACTAACCGTACGAGATTCGAACCAGCGACATGTAACATTACTAACATTGTAACAAATCCACTGAGCCATGTGGTAGTCATGCAAATTATTGCAAATTAGTGTTTGCGAGAAAAGACGAGAAGGCATGGGAATTGAACCCAAGTTCTCCTGATCAATATGTATACAATTGACCCACAATACCACGATGGATTGACTGGTTGTGTTTTCATTCGATGAGACTATATAGTGTTTATATATATAGAAATGCAACATACTTCTATTATTGAGTTACAATTGTCCAAAATATAGCCAATTTTGTTTTTTTTTACTTGTGTAAACTATATTCATGCCATAATCCGTTAGTTAGACTGGCGCAGTCGAAGCAATTAATTTGGTTTTGTAGTTTAAATAAAATCAAAAAAAAATCAATAATTGACAATCTTCTAAGCCAACCACAACGTCGCTTCAACTGATCGCTGACTGAGAAGACGTCTGCTGATTGTAGTCGCCGATTTTTTTTAAATTCTACGACTAGTACGGATTACTTTTCACTCATTGTGATGAATTAGAAACGACGTGGACTAATATTTGAGACTTATTTTGGTGTAACCACTCAGTATTTAATTAATTAATTTCCACCATTAACAAGTGGTTAAATTGTGACAAAAAATGTGTGGACAAATATTTGAGACTTATTTTGGTGTAGACAAGTCGCATTTAATTAAATTCCACCATTAACAAGTGGTTAAATTGTGACAATAAATGTATGGACATATATTTGAGAGTTATTTAGGTGTAGACCACTTTCGTTTGATTATTTTACACAACTGCAAGTTGTTAAATTGAGAGAATAAATGTGTGGACAAATATTTGAGTAAATACCTGTCGTTTAATTAATTTCCACCTCTACAAGATTGTTAAATTGAGAGAATAAATGTGTTTTTGATACTTATTTAGGTGTAAGAACTCGTGTTTGATCAACTTCCATCATTGCAAGTTGTTATCTCTTGTCACGATCTGGAAACTGTTGAACAAATTGCGCGTCGTGCAGTTTAAGACGTAATTTAATGAGTTGTTCAGAATGGAAAGCTTCATGAAAATAATGGGTATTACCAAACGCTTCAGCGTGGTATTAAGAGTTTGTTTTCAGGGGTGGGTGATACCAAGGTGGAAAATGAATGCACATATGGGGGTAATTCCTGGAATTGCAATAGAGAGGGTTCAGGCCGAAATACAATATATAATGTTTCCATGTTTCGTCTGATATTTCTGTGGTTTTCTGCTGCTGTAAATAATGCAAAATTGGTTCCGAAATTCAGTGTGTTGTGTGCACTCCAGGGTTATTCGTTTTTTGCTCAATACACCCCTATTTTTAATGGCAGAGTCGAATAGTTTCACCCCCACTGGGAAATCTGCACTGTTGCTTGAACGAGAGCTAATTAAACACCTTTTCCAGACCGGCGAAAGTGTATGCAACAGCCAATTTTAACAGCCTGTCACGTGATTTTACTCTGAATGTCAACATGAAAAGAAGCTAGTCCATTTTACGCAGGAATAATTGAGAGTAGAATATGTGAGGGATAGTATCAGCAGAGATGTGTATACTGGAAAGTAATATATATCGTTCTTTTGCATCGCTGAGCATTTCTGTTTTAGTATACTGGTTTGAAATGTGTTTTTACTAAAACTCCTCTATTGATTGAATGCCGGGTTTGAAGGAGAACGGCATACCACGTGATTCGTTCGAATACTATGGTGAAGGTTTGACACAAAGTTATGTTGAAGTTAAAAGTTCCTCCACCGAATTTTGCATTGGCAAACATGTCATGCTACTGCGACACTCCACTGACGGGATGACTTTCGTCGACAGCGGTCGTCGCTGAGCTGCATGCTACAACTTCGTTTGTGATGTAGCTTGTTAGGCGTGGATTAAATAAATCTTGATTACTGGTTAAAATGTTGCTCATTCAGCGTTGGTAAACTTTATTTGGAACTGGGTAACGCTGCAACGTCACCAGCAGAAACCTCCTGGTACTTCGATGTTGATGGTTGCGCCTCCATGGCAATCGCTAATTTTACTGTAGGGGGGGGGGGTCTTCCAAGAGCCCTTCAGGGTTTATAAAACTCAACATACATCAAGTTCTCACAATCGTAGTATTCTATGTGATGTACATTTATTATGCCAAAAATGTTGCTGATCGATTTGAACTGGATAAAAATAGCAGACGAAAATTTGTATACAAAATATAAATAGCCCGGTTGCCAATGAAAACAAGCCGGTAGGCTGGTTGGCGGTCCGTTCCGCTAAAAAACAAGCACTATGTTTTCAGCTGTTGTTAGAACATGAACGTGAAGCTAACGTCGGCTTATAACTAAAACCGAGCACCGTATACGAAGTTCGCAAAAAACATTCAGTCTTTAGAAGTCACTTTATTTTATTGCTTGGACGTATTCTGCCATTGAATGTATTACATGTATTTCCAACTGTTTTGCGATAGTATTTTCTAGATTGGAGGCAGCATTTACATTTCATTCAAATTTGCTTTGAGATTACGATGATACAGTGTAACAATGTCGGCGCCGGTGTGCAACTCAGCCAAAATAAAAGGCATGATCATTTAAACACTGCTATTATGATGATTTTTTTTTCGCGTATCTGTTAATCGACTTAATTAGCTGATTATTAGCGAATGGCTGTGTTATGTCTGTCATTGTTTAGGCAGGCGAGGTACTGGACGGAACTCGACTCAGTGATTTGGAACTAATTACGAGATAACCGTCGCTATTCGGACTACTATTTCTGACATTTGGTATTCGTAGTTATTAATGTAGTAAACGATTAATCAAAATATATGACGTATTCAGTACTTAGTGTGATTGGCTTTATGATTGAAGGTTACGCCCTAGAGTCTTTTTTCTGCTTTGTAATTGGTTAGAGTTTTGAAAATGAATAAAGTTGTTTTAGTTGGTCTTGGCGAGTACAGCACGACAGACGCAGTCCAGTCCTGGAGAGTCTTGGGGCGAGTCTTGACACAGTCTTGGGCTAGTCTTCGGTCAGCCTTGCGATAGTCTTGGGGACTTTTCCCCAGGGCGCTGTGTCTTATAGAGTGCTCGACTGATCGACTAAGACGAAAGTTGAAACGTATTTCGCTGTGTGTGTCTTATTTGACTGTAAAGCTTAAGTGACTTTCCCGATCCCATACCTCAAGAGGACGCGAGAGAGAGAGACGAGACGAGATTCCCCCTGACAAGTGTGGAGAACCCCAGAGAGAAGAATTTCCCCTGATACTATTACAAGACTGGTAGGAGTTAATAAATTTGGAACGAAAGTATTAAAAAAACAGTCTTTGGCTGTTGCCATGGTAGCTGTGGGCCAGGATTGTTTTTCCAATTAATGACGGTACGACCTGCTTGTCAAGTATGAACAAAA